CGGTCACTCACGCCCTGGTCACCTCCCAGTTGGACTACTGTAATGCTCTCTACATGGGGCTCCCCTTGAAGAGCACTCGGAGGCTCCAACTGGTCTAGAATGCGGCCGCGTGGGTGGTTATGGGCGCAACCCGTTGTGCCCATGTGACACCTCTCCTGCACGAGCTGCACTGGCTCCCAGTGGTCTTCTGGGTGCGATTCAAGGTGTTGGTCACCACCTTTAAAGCGCTCCATGGCTTAGGACCTGGGTACCTTCGAGACCGTCTTTTGCCACCAGTAGCCTCCCACCGGCCAGTCCGCTCCCACAGAGAGGGTCTCCTCAGGGTACCATCGACCAAGGTATGTCGGCTGGCGACACCCAGGGGGAGGGCCTTCTCTGTGGGAGCCCCAGGCCTTCCTGCGGGTTTTCTCCCGCGTAAAATTGGAAGTGTCTTGGCGATGTTTCGACGAAGTCTCATTCGTCATCTTCAGGCTGGTGTTTTCGGCTTCGTGCTTCTAGGAGCATGAAGCTGAAAACACCAGCCTGAAGATGACGAATGAGACTTTGTCGAAACGTCGCCAAGACACTTCCAATTTTACGCGGGAGAAAACCTGAATAACCAAAGACCTACATACAAACACCTGCGAAAACCTCAGAAAACATATATATATATATATAGTGTTTTTCTATCGAGACACCTGGTCTACCCCTACATGTGGGAGGGGGCATTCTGCTTCCTTTCGCCTATATATATATTTCTCTTTGCTGGCTAGCTGGCTCTTCTCAGTGGCTAGGATATCATGGTGTTCTGCCCCACCTATGGACCCCAAAGAACGCAGCACACACAAAATCCGTTCAAATCTTAGTTTACTAAATAAACCAGTTTTTTACAACGGCTGTTAATTAACTGCATTATCAGCCGCCAAGAATTCAAAGAATAATACTGAAAGCTTACTGTGGTTGGCAGAATGCCCAGAAGCAATTTGCAGGAAGCTGATAAGCAAGACAAGACATGAAGGTATGTGAACTAAATTATTCCCTGCAAATTGCCTGTCATCATCCTTCCTTAAATAGGCTAAGGGAGTGGCCAATTAGCCCCAAGCCTTACTCTCAAGAAGACCTCCTCCTGAGGAGCCACTCCTGCCTTTTGGCAGCTCTGCGCGCCCGTGCATCGAGAAGAGGCTCCTCCTCTTCTTCCTCTTCACTTATGGGAGCTTCTGGAGGTTCTGAAGGCCCTGGCTGAATCCCTGCCTTTGGCACCACATCTTCTCCAGCCTCCTCACTGTCCGACTCGAATGCCACTGCACAGGCTGCTGGCACAGCACCATACCAGCCTCCTTGCTGTTGGAATCAGTTACTAGTTGCACAGGCCGCTGACGGCCCACAACACATGGTCCCTTGTGTCTCAGGCATGTCTTCACCCAAATCCATCTCTCAGTATCATATGAATATTTTTTTATCGATCTACTGTCTGTGTTCTCCCCCACCCATCCAAAATGACTGCACATTTCCAGGCAAAAAAACCCTCGACTTCCGCCCTTGATGTTAAAAAATTTAATTGTATGATGTTGCTGCAGAATTAAGACGTATTCTCTGCCTGGGTTAGCAGGACACGTTGGGCTCTTGTTCACTGAACTGAATCGACTACATTCAGAATCTGCATCGCTGAACCGTCAACTCACTGAACTCACAATAATCAGCAAGCCGCAAGATTGCCCGGAGAGGGTATTGTGTGAAGTTGTGTCTGCCTCTTGTCGTTCAAAGCGTTTGTAGCACAGCGAGGTGGATTTTTCAAAAGCAAAGCTGAAACTCAGCTGGGTATGACATGAATGATGCAAAGCAACCACTGGCTCAACGTCTCTCGTGTGATGCCAATACGGATTATCCTCAATTTATGACAGTTGGGACCAGAATTTCTTTGTTTGCTAAGCAAGGCAGTTCATTCAGTGAGCGGTGCCCAGTTTTACGACCTTTTTTGGCCGAAGTTGTTAAGCAAATCACTGCAGTTGTTCAGTAAATCATGTTGTTAAGTGAATTCAACTTCCCCACCTCTCCCCCCCAATGACTGTACTTGTCAGAAGCTGGCTGGAAAGGTGGCGATGGGTGATCCCATCACCCTCGGTCACTGCAACATGCAGATTGTCAAGCACCCGGATTTTGAAGCGGGGATGCTGTAATAAGAGTCATAAGCGGGAGGCCCAGTCGTAAGTCAGCATTTTCAGTGCCGTTGTAACTTTGAACCACTGGTGAAATCCAAACTTTTTTACTACCGGTTCTGTGGGCATGGCTTGGTGGGCGTGGCAGGGGAAGGATACTGCAAAATTCCCATTCCCACCCCACTTCAGAAGGATACTGCAAAACCCCCATTCTCTCCCCACTCCTGGGGGAAGGATATTGCAAAATCTCCATTCCCTCCCCATTCTGGGGCCAGCCAGAGGTGGTATTTGCTGGTTCTCCAAACTACTCAAAATTTCCGCTACCGGTTCTCCAGAACCTGCTGGATTTCACCCCTGCTTTGAACATTCGCTAAACAACTGGTTGTAAGTCAAGGACTCTGAACAGTATCTAGCCATTCCATTTACACATGCTAAGTTGGTTAGTATTAATCTTGGTTAGGGTTTTTCCCCCCCCAACGAAGCCTTTTGTAGTAACTCAGACCATTTGGTTAGGATCAGTGTACCGTTAATCCTTGGTTTACGACCACAATTCAGCCCAGAATTTATGTTGCTAAGTGAGGCATTTGTTAAGGCATTTGTTTGCCCCATTTTATGACTTTTCTTGCCACATTTGTTAAGTGAATCACTGCAGTTGATAAAGTTAGCAACCCGGTTGTTAAGCGAGTCTGGCTTCCCCATTGATCACATGAACCTGGGACACTGCGACCGTCATAAATGTGAACCTGTTGCCAGGCATCTGAATTGTGATCACATGATCATGGGGAGGCTACAAAGGTTGTAACTGTGAAAAATGGCCATAAGTCACTTTTTTTCAGTGCCATTGTAACTTTGAACAGTCACTAAATGCACTGTTGTAAATCGAGGACTCCCTGTATAGGTAGTCCTCGACTTACAACCACAGTTGGGACCAGAGTTTCCATTGCTAATCAAGGCTGTTAATTGAGTTCTGTCCAATTTTATGACTTTCGGTTATTAAATGAATCTAACTTTCCCTACCCCAATGGTCACTAAATGTCTGGCCAGGGACATTTCCTATGAACGCATTGGTATCGTATCTAATAGTATGCATTCCCACATTTCAGTAGGGCAGTAAGGCAGGCCCAAGGTCCATGTCCTGGTTTCCTCACAACAACAAAAATATAGATTTATTTTTTTTAATTCTGCCTTTTATTATTTTTTTATAAATAACTCAAGGCAGCAAACATACCGAATGTTCCTCCAATTTTCCCCACTGTGAGGTGGGTTAGGCTGAGAGTGACTGGCCCAAGGTCACCCAGCTGGCTTTCATAGCTAAGGCAGGACTAGAATTCACCATCTCCTAGTGATTGGCCCAAAGTCACCTAATCAGTTTTTATGCCTAAGGCGGGACTAGACCTCGTCGTCTCTTGGTGATTGGCCCAAAGTCACCCAGCTGATTTTCATGGCTAAGGCGGGACTAGAACTCACCGTCTCCTGCTTTCTAATCTGGTGCCTTAACCACTAGACTAAACATCACCACAATCCAGGGGTGAAATGCTCCCGGTTTGGACCGGATCGCCCAATCTGATAGCAAGGGAGGCAGGTGCTTCGCAGAACTAGTAGCAAAAATCCCTGCCCATGCCCAGCTGAGCCACGCAATCATCAGAGGCTTTTCAAAAAAAATTTAAAAGCATTTTTTCTACAACCTCTTCGTCCAAAAAAAATGCTTTTAAAAGTAAAAAACAAAAGCCTCTGACGATCAGGCAACTCAGCTGGGATCGGCCAAAGAGATTGTAGAAATAATGGTTTTAAAAGTGTAAAAAAAAAACAACGTTGGCCACGCCCACCCAGTCACATTCACCCCCACCAAGCCACACCCACAGAACCGGTAGTAACAAATTTTACATTTCACCACTGCCACAATCTGAGGATTGTTGAATCATTCCCCATTAGGGTGGCTTCACACCAGCTGAAATCTTCCATACAATCTGCATAAATAGCTTGGGCAGCGTGACATCCCCAACTTGTTAAGGTCTTTAGATTCCCAAGACTGATATTCACAGGTAGTCCTCGACATACGACCATCATGGAGCCTGCTCATTATGGTGGTAAATGAGTCCAGTCACATGACACATCCGATTTCAGGCTTTTGCAGCAGTCATAAAATAAATGCCACTGGTCATTAAACAAACGCTGCAATTGTCAAGCGAACCCGTTATTGTCACACGATTCCCCTTTTGCGACCTTCTGACAAGTAAAGTCCATGGAGAGACCGAATTCACTCAACAACCATACTGCTAACTTAACAAACTGCGGTGATTCACTCAACGACTGTGGAAAGGAAGGTTGTAAAATGGGACAAAGCCCACTGTCTGGCTTAGCAAGGGAAATTTTTGCAAGGTCGTAAGTCGAGGACTACCTGAACAGTGTCAACTCTGAAGTGAACCTGCCTGGGGCCATTTTGGAGGCTTCAGGGTTGCCACAATGCGAAAAAGGGATAGGGAGGGGGAACATAGTTAGATGTGGGGGCTTGTAGCCAAAACAAGTTCCTGTGGAAACCAAGGTCATTCCAACAGGTGGTTGGAGAGAGGAGGAGTGAAGTAACCAGGCAACTGGTCAGCACCTTGATTGGACCATGTGACTGGTTGTTTGGGGAAAGGGGGGGGCGACTTTCACTTTTAATTAGGTGAAAACCGGAGAAACTTTCAGAGTCGTTTTTCACCAGTTGTGCCAATCTCCAATAAAACTCTTCTTTGAGGAATCTGTCTGCCTCAGAGTTCTGATTTCTACGGGGTTATTACTTGGGACACTGACATACCGCCAGCCGGAGACCGTTGCCTACAACCAGGATTTGCGGATCCGAAATACAACAGGACAGACGAGCGCTTTGCTTTTCCAAAAGGAATATTTTATTGACAAATTTCCCCCAGACCCATTACAGGAGAAACAACTTAGCCTCGTCCTGCAGCGCCCGGTCGCATCAACACCGATTCTCCCTTTTTTTTCTTTTTTCTTTTTCCAAACGCAGGTGGGCTACCTCCTTCTTAAGAAACTACCATAAAACCCCCGTCTTAATCTCTGTGGATCTGCTGCCTCTCTTGAGCCAGGTCATGACCCAGGAAGGTTTTCAGCCAACAGCAACAAAAGGACGCAGGAGGAATTTCGTCGCCCGCGTTTTTGAGTGTCAAAACTTGCTTCTCGGGTGACCGGAGAGAGGAAGGGTCACCAAATCATTCTTCCTGGGTGCCAAGTGTCACTGTTGGTATCTATTGTGGGGCGCACTGCTTCCCATCCCACTGAGCCTCTAAGGCACAGAAAAGTCTGGATCGCTTACGGGCACCTCTGCCTTCTCACGTTCTCGCCCTTCCCTCAAGGGTATTAGTGTTTCCATGCATAATCGCCAACAGCAGCCAAGGCACCCACGACCACCGCAGGGTTGCAGAAGCCGCGAACAGAATCCCGCCGTCAGATTCTCAAAAAACAATCGGACGAAAAATTCCCGGAAGGAGCAACGAACGAAGAAAGAAAACCCAGCAGAAGGGATTTTTGGGGTGCCCTGATAATCCCGGTGGTTCCCTCGCTGCCTCCGGGACTTTCTAAAACAAGACCCAAATCCAGAGGACAGAAAAGCAAATTCCGTACGCTCGAGGGGGGAGACAGAGAGAGAAAAGAACATGCGTGCAAGCGAGGATTTATGTAACACGCCGAAATGAACGTTGAGAGTCACATGCAGTTTCTATGGTACGATGCCTCAACCTGTTTCCTTCCCTTCCCTTCCTCACCCACTACCTTCTTCACACTTCCGAGATATAAAAAGATTATAAACGATTAAAGCAGGTGGTGACGTAAGGCTTGTATTTCAGCTCCCGCGTCTGAGAGACCGGGAAGGGGGGGGAAGGGCCCTAAATCGCGATGCAAAAAAGCTGATGCGCTGTGGAAGTCTCCCGCCACCCACCCACCCTCCCTGCAAATTCCAAAAAAATAAACTTTCTGAGATTTATTAAAGTTTAAGAGAAGTCCGGGCGGCAGGCTCGGCTAGGGCTTAAGAGGAGATTCCTTTCTGAGAATCCCAGAAGAGAGGGGGGGGGAAGGGGGACTATCTTTACCACCCCCACCACCCCCGCTAAGTAAACTTGGTTTATCGACCTAAACGAGAGATGGCAAGGTTTCCAAAGCAGTCACGGGCACTCTTTAATTGCCCAGAAAGGAAACGAGCTTGAATAACTGAAAGCTAGCTAGCTAGTTATACCAAGGAGATGGGAGTAAGGGTATATAAAGCGCTCGGCTGTTTTGCGTACAGCTAACGCCTCCTGAAACGACCCTTTTTCCCGTATTGCATTAAAAAAAATCGAATTTCTGCTCGCAACTGGAGGAACAAGGAGGAGGGGGCAGTGTCTACAAGCCTCTGAAGCCTCAAAGGGGAGGGTCTTTTTGGGGCTCAAACGGCAAAAATCCTCCCCGCCGATAACCCTTCCAAACGGAAGCGCGGCACGGGGCTCCCTCGAGAAACCTTTAGTGTAAAATAGGTATAAGTGTACAAAAAGCCGTCTGTTCACTTTATTGGACCTGAAGATTCCAGCAGCGAAGAGGGATGTATGGACCTCTCTCTTCCTGAGTGGGACCGCAATTCTCTTTTTTTTTTTCTTTTGTTTCCTTTTTTTTTTTTTCGTTTTTTCGTCTTGCGTGTTGGGAAGAGCAAAGGGTGGGGCTCCGGCAGCCATGCACCGCCATGCTGTAGGAGGGCTTAGAAAGGCGCGTTGTCCTGGGGCGGCTTGTCGCCAGCGGCCGTCGGCGAATGGAGCTGGTTGGTGCCATCGTTATCTTTGCCACCCACAACTTTGGACTGAGAAAAGAAAAGAAAAAGGGGCTAAGAGTTCAGCAGATCAGCGTCACCCTGGTTTTTTTTTTTTTTTTTTTGCTCCATCCCTCCGCCCATTTAAGTGCATTTTTCAAAATCTACATCTGACCTTTAATCTCGTTGTAAACAACTCAATATCTGATACTCCTTCCTCCTAGTTTCCCTGCTATCTGTGAGGTGGGTTGGGCTGAGAGAGAATGACTTGCCCAAAGTCACACAGCTGGCTTTCATGGCTAAGGCGGGACTAGAATTCACCGTCTCCTGGGGATTGGCCTAAGTCACCCAATTGGGTTTCATGGCTAAGGCGGGACTAGAACTCACTGTCTCCTGGGGATTGGCCAGTTGGGTTTCATGGCTGAGGCGGGACTAGAACTCACCGTCTCCTGGGGATTGGCCCAAAGTCACCCCAATTGGGTTTCATGGCTAAGGCGGGACTAGAATTCACCGTCTCCTAGGGATTGGCCCTAAGTCACCCAATTGGGTTTCATGGCTAAGGCAGGACTAGAACTCACTGTCTCCTGGGGATTGGCCCTAAGTCACCCAGCTGGCTTTCATGGCTAAGGCGGGACTAGAACTGTCTTCTGGTGATTGGCCCAAGGTCACTCAGCTGGCTTTCATGCCTACAGCGAGATTACAATTCACAGTCTCCCGTTTTCTAGCCTGGTGCCTTAACTACTAATTGGCTCTCCATTGCCTAGTAGAAGAGGAGGAAGAGGAGGAGGAGGAGGAGGAGGTTCTCCCATGTATGGAAGGAAAATTACCTTTATGGTTCCAACTCTGTCTTCGAAAGACTTGAAAGTTGGAGAATTTCTTGCAAAAGAAAAAAGAACAGTTATGGTTTTTTTAAAAAAAATAGAAAGAGAGTACTACAATTTTGCATTCTTTCTTCAGGCTGGCCATCTTGGGGGGGGGGGGTGCTGCAGTATCTAGAGACCACTCTAGAACCCACTTCGCACAACTGATCACCTCCACAATCTGCTGAACTCTGGATAATTATGATCTGGAAAAACTAAGGGAAGCTACACAAAAGCATGCTTAAAAGCCACAATTCTCGGTTGAATAAGAAACACAAAAACGTGTTTTTTTTTTTTCAGTAAGAGAAAGATGCCTTTACAACTTCCAGGAAGGCTCATGTCAAAAAACTTAAATTATAGATGGTTCAGAAATTTTAGGTTCCAACTTTCCTAGAAAACAGTTCAAAAGATAATAGAATAGAATAGAATAGAATAGAATAGAATAGAATAGAATAGAATAGAATAGAATAGAATAGAATAGAATAGAATAAGAGTAGAGTAGAGTAGAATAAGAGTAGAGTAGAGTAGAGTAAAAGAATAGAATAGAATAAGAGTAAAGAAAATAGAATAAGATAGAATAGAATAGGATAGAATAGAATACAATAGAATAGAATAGAACAAGAGTAGAGTAGAGTAGAGTAGAGTAAAAGAGTAGAGTAGAGTAGAGTAGAGTAGAGTAGAGTAGAGTAGAGTAGAATAAAATAGAGTAGAGTAGAGTAGAGTAGAGTAGAGTAGAGTAGAGTAGAGTAGAGTAGAGTAGAGTAAAATAGGACAGGACAGGATAGGATAGGATAGAACAGAACAAGAGTAGAGTAGAGTAGAGTAGAAAGGATAGGATAGGACAGGACAGGACAGGACAGGACAGGACAGAATTCTTTATTGGCCAAGTGTGATTGGACACACAAGGAATTTGTCTTTGGTGCATACGCTCTCAGAGCACATACAAGCAACAAGTGATAAATCATGATCACAATCATAAAATACCATCATCATAAATCATAAGAGCCCCCCAGGTTTACAATAGCATGAACAAAAACTTGGTAACCTCTGAACGGTCACGTCCCATCACCCTCCGAGACTCAACAGGCTTATTTCCTGTTGACAAACTTGCTTTCCCACAATTTGTTTGTTTGTTTAGAGAATGTATTTGGCCTCCCACTCACCTTCAAGGACTCTTATGTGTCTTGCAAAACACAGCATTTAAATCATTTGCCACTTCGCCAGAATGAACATGGCATCAACAAGCAAGAGGTGCCAAAACTGTATCTTTCAAGTCTGGCAAGTGTAGGATGTGTGGACTTCAACTCCCAGAATTCCGTAGCCGGCATAGCCGGCTGGGGAATTCTGGGAGTTGAAGTCCACATATCTTAAATGTATAAATACATTCATATTTCTTCAGCAGCTCCCACGAGGACCTTCTGGAAGATCAAGTGGTGGGCTACTCAAATGATTGTTAATGCTCCAGCGCTTAAATGACCTGCAACCGATCGTACCCGCCCAAATGCCAAATGCCAACATCGTTTTGGAAAAAATCCCCGAGGCTTTTGCTACATTACCTCATTGCCGGCATACTTATCGAATGACGGATGGAGTAACTGCTACTCGGAAGCATTAAGGGGAAAGGAAGGAAACGTTAGAAGCATTAAACCACGGATAGCGTCGCACCCTGTCCATTGCCGCCCTCGCAGGGTGCGAGTAGTGAGTCGCAACACGTTCTGGGACCGTCTCAGCTGAGAATTACAGACCGTCCTCTACTTACGACCATTCATTTAGTGACCGTTCCGAGTTACAGCAGCACTGAAAAAAATGACCTAGGGGCATTTTTCACACTTACATCCCCGTGGTCATGTGATCAAAATTCAGACGCTTGGCAAACTGGCTCATATTTATGACGGTCGTAGTGTCCTGGGGGTCGCGTGATCCCCTTTTGCGACCGTCCGACGAGCAAAGTCAACGGGGGAAGCCGGATTCACTCAACAACCGTGTTCCTAAATTTAACCATCGCAGGGGATTCGCTTAGCAACGGCGGCAAGGAAAGGTCACGAAATGAGGGCAAAACTCCACTGTCCCGCTTAGCAGCAGAAATTTTCGGCTTAATTGTGGTCGTAAGTGGAAGACTACCTGCATTCGAGACTAATGACCTGGCTGAACCAGAGTCCCCATACAGACGACCCCTCTCTGCCTTACCTAAACGAATGTGAGAACGGATGGGCCCTGCCAGGATCCAACGGAAGCAGAAATTGAGAACAAGGAAAGAGAGAAAATTAGGGGCAACGTCACAAGACCTTTTCTTCTACATCCAATACTTGGCCCTCAAACAATCCACCAAGAGGTGAATCTTAAAAGGAGAAGGAACGGTATGAGGTTGAAGCTCCAGCCCGCCGAATATCTGTCACGGTTAGTGTCCATGCCACACAGTGAAATTAAAGTTAGCTTCCATCAATTACGTCACTGACCCATCTGAACGTCCGTGGCAAATCTCAAAACAGCTCTGATGGGTTCAGACAAGGATGCCGGAGAACTTCTGCTCACCACCCAACTAAACCCAACAGGTCCAACAACATCTGCTAGGTGACCTGTAGGCCGTCCTCACGCCGGGCTGCAGGTCAGAAATGGCTGATTCAATTGTCTGTGGAGATTCTCAATCATCCAGGGTCACAGTTGTCCCAAAGGTGCTTTTCAAAAGGCAATTAGACTTTCTTGTTTTGCTAGAAGACGTTTCGCCTTCTCATCCGAGAAGCTTCTTCAGTTCTAGATTCAGGGGGTGGGAGAGAGATAAACCTCCAAGTGGCCTCAGTGACTCTCAGAAGGAGCGCTAACAACCAGAGGACTGCAAGGAATATAAATCCTTCCATTCTCCACCATTCAGTCAGAACTGAAGAAGCTTCTTGGATGAGAAGCGAAATGCCTTCAAGGAAATAAGCAAAGAAACGCCAGCTGCCTTTGGGACAACCATAACATGGATGATTGAGAACTTCCATAGACCAATGGTTGTTTCTTTTCCACGGTGCCAAGCCGTACCGGTCTACCTTTTGTCTACAGAGATTTTCAATCATTGAGGCTTCTTCAAAAGGCAATGGAACTTTCTTCCTTTTTGCTTGAAGACGTTTCACTTCTCATCCATGAAGCTTCCTCAGTTCTGAAGCAGCTTCATGGATGAGAAGCGAAAATGTTTTCAAGGAAAAAACCCCAAGTCCGGTTGTTGTTTTGAACAGCACCTTTGGGCTCATTTAATTGTGAATTATAGAAGATTATAGCAGAGACGCCTTCTCCCCCCAAGACTAAAATTATGCTTGGATGTACAATGAAGGAACACCCTGGCCTTTTGCTCCAGGCGTCTCAAGATAACAACGCGAGGCGGCATCTTCTGGCAGGGGAAACCTAGAGGACCCGGCCGTGTGGCAAGGAAGCAGCAACTAAGAAAACCGGTTTTCCAAGAGAGACTTTACCAAACAAACCTGGGGATCTTCGACAAAGATTCCCGGTGATTTTAGTGAATTAATAAAATAGTTGTTGTTTTTTTAAACCGTCCCTCTTGTTCGCCACTGGAGGAATGAAGAGAAGAGCAATTAGCAGTGGGGTTATTTATTTATTTGTTTGTTTATTTATTTTCCACCTTTATTATTCTTTTTTTTATAAACGGCTCAAGGCACTAAACATATTTAGTATGCCTTCTTCCTCCTCCTCCCTACGAGAACAAACACCCTTTGAGGTGAGAGTGATTGGCCTAAAGTCATCCAGCTGGTTTTCATGCCAATGGTGGGACTAGAACTCACCGTCTCCTGGTGACTGGCCCAAAGTCACCCAGTCGACTTGTTCCTAAGGCAGGACTAGAACTCACAGTCTCCTGGTGATTGGTCCAAAGTCATCCAGCCGGCTTTCATGCCTGAGGTGGGACTAGAACTCACAATCCCCTGCTGATTGGCCCAAAGTCACCCAGTCGACTTGTGCCTGGCAGAACTAGAACTCACAGTCTCCTGGTGACTGGCCCAAAGTCACCCAGTGGGCTTTCATATCGAAGGTGGGACTGGAACTCATAGTCCCTTGGTGACTGGCCCAAAGTCACCCATTTGGCTTTCATGCTGAAGCAGGACTAGAACTCACAGTCTCCTGGTTTCTAGCCTGCTGCCTTAACTACTAGACCAAACTGATTCTTGCCTGAATCCAAAGGAAGTTAATTCTACAACTAACTCCTTGGTAGCCTTGGTAGTACAGTGGTCTAAAGCACCCTGTTATTAAGACCAGCTGCCTGCAATTACTGCAGGTTCGAATCTCACCAGGCTCAAGGTTGACTCAGCCTTCCATCCTTTCTAAGGTAGGTAAATTGAGGACCCAGTTTGTGGGGGCAGTAAGCTGACTTTGTATAAATATACAAAAGGATGAAGGCTATTGCTTAGCGCATTGTAAGCCGCCCTGAGTCTCCGGAGAAGGGCGGCATATAAATCAAATTAAAAAATAAAATAAAATAAAATAAAAATAAACTCCCATTGGATCGAACCCAATTCAATTTAGCTTTAAATGTAGACCAGCTGGTTTCACCCATCATCCCCAGCCAGGAGAACCACTGGCCCAGCTGAGAGGGGGAGACGGGAATAACACAACACATCTGAATTGGACTGAACTGGAATAACCCGGTTATTATAGAAAATATACTGAGCTCGTAGCCTTTTCTACCAGGGGACTTACACACCAAAGCCGTTCGGATTTGCCAGCCTTTTCCTGGTCTCCCCAATTCGGAGTGACCTCCGGAGCCGTTTACCCATTTTAAGCAGCCAAACCTCAGGGTCACACCGCAGGCACACCAGGAAAGTAAAGGATCACACACACAGTTTGGTGGGGAAAAGGCCAGAAAACCTCAAAAAAAGACCACACGGTAAAGACAAGCTGAGCAGGGATGACTTCTGCCCTTTAAAAAAAAAAAATTAAAAGAAAGAAACTCACCACAACACTTAACCTCTGATCACATAAGATAAACTCGAAAACGGGGCCGGTTTAATCATTTGGAGTCTTTCTGCACCGCAAAAAAAACTGGAGATGTTTTGGTGGGAGGATCTGGGGGTGGGGTGGGGGCAGAGAAGCCAAATTCCTCCCCCCCTCCTCCCATCGTTGAAGAGGAGAAGCAATAGCAACCAGGTGGCAATCTTTCTCAACCGTGGTAAGGTAAAAAAACGGGCAGTTCCCAGAATCCCCCTAGCTAGCATGTTGTCGTCTGGGGCATTCTGGGCATTGAAGGGCCACACATGGCTAGCTGGGAAATTCTGGGGAATTGAACTCGGCACAACTTTACGAAGTTGCTAAGATTGAGAGGAAGAGAAGGTGTCTCCTTTGATAAAACAGTTATTTTCTTTGTTCTCCTAGTTTTAATCCTGACTTTCATCATGACCGGGTTGAGTATTATCAATTTAGAGCAGGGGTCTCCAACCTTGGCAACTTTAAGACTTGTGGACTTCAACTCCCAGAGTTCCTCAAGTCTTAAAGTTGCCAAGGTTGGAGACCCCTGATTTAGAAGATTCAACATTGTGAGGTCCTTGATGCTCTCCGAGCTTGGTGGTTTTCTTGCAAACATTTTGTCACCCAACTAGGAAACATTATCAGTGCTAGAAGGGAGTGGGGTTTGCGGGGAGGAGGAGGACTTTGGGGTCCTTGATGCTGAGTTGGTGGGTTTTTTTTTAGACATTTCATGACCCAACGATGTAACATCATCAACACTACTGAGTGTGGGGTTTGCTATTAGTTTTACACATCCTCTCCACCAACCAACACCCAGATAAGCAGGGATTAACCCCAGACAAACAAAAAAGCAGGAAACAATACCCCAATCAAGAAACACTAAGGAGACATTGCAGGCATTTCACCCATGCCAACAGTGCCAGAGCAAGCTGCTGTATATAAACAAGGAACAAACCTCACTATCTTTTAGCACTGATGAAGTTAGCTAGCTGGGTTGTGAAATGCCTGCAAGAAAACAAGCAAGTTCAGAGGGCACCAAGGACCCCCAAGATTCCACTCTGAGCTACAGATATTCTTTTATTTATTTATTATTTATTTATTTCATGTATTTTATATGCCGCCCTTCTCCAGAAGGACTCAGGGCGGCGAACAACAAGTTAAAAACATGTACGACAAAATCCCATTTTAAACCAAATGAACTAATAAATAATAAATAATAAAAGTCAGAATCAGAGTCAGCCTATTTGCTTGAACAGCCAAGTCTTCAGATCCTGACGGAAGGAGCGGAGATCAGGAGCCGTCCGGAGCTCGGTAGGCAACTCAACATGAGATTCAACATGTTTTTGAGATTCAACATGAGCTCCTGGGGAGGCCAACAGGCCTTCAAAAACCATTTACAGGGGAGGAATGACAGGAGAGAAGCTGGTCTCCATCACCTCCTTTTCAACACCCTATAGAGATCTGATTGGCCATAGGAGAAACCAATTCTCAACTCGCAAAGCATCCCTGATTTAATTAGGGCATCCATCGGAACTCTGACAGCAAGCCAGCTCTGACCCTACGTGATTTACACTCCAATTATGACCCTGTTTCCCCCCCCTTCCCCCCAGGGTATGTCATCAATCACATTCAGGTCACTCCCCTTCGACGACTGTAGGCATCCCTGGGATACAGCCTTGAGCCTGGAATGTGCATCTGCTTTTGGCTGCTGTGCAGTTTTGGCAGTTTCCCATCCCTTCCTGGCCTATGGCAACCCGAGAGCAGGCCAGGGATGATTTACGAGTTGACAACAATACTGTAATTGGATGGGCCGTGGTTCAATCAAGCAGGTCTGTTCTTAACGCTTTAAAGCAGTGTTTCTCAACCAGGGCAACTTTAAGAGGGGTGGACTTCAACTCCCAGAATTCCCCAGCCAGCATGGCTGGCTGGGGAATTCTAGGAGTTGAAGTCCACCCCTCTTAAAGTTGCAAGGATGAAAAACCCAGTTCTAAGGCTTTCCTCTGCTAAGGGACGTGTGGACAGAGTCCCCTCAAAACTCAACCAAAATCGCCAACTCATGGACACTGTATGAAGCGGGACAGAGTCTTTTAATCGCTCCTCATCTCTCCAAGAGCTTAATCATTATCAGGGTTTTAATTTTGCTCCCTTTCACGATTCCTAATAGTGGTGTGATTCACAGAATCCTGTTTGGCCTTTGTGGGTTTGCTAATGCAATCGTTGCAATCTATGCGTGTATGTTTAAGTGTTCCAACCTTTACATAAATGACGCACTGCTATTGGCACTCATGCATCCTAAGCCACTTTCGGAGAACATTATCGGTTTGCAGAGGAAACGTGGAGAGGTTAAAAGGCCAGCGCCTGATTCTTTAAATGTGTTTTGAGCAAAAGTGTATATTTTGGAAAGGGAGGAAGGCTCCGTATCGACCCACAAATTGTAGAAGTGCACACAAGACCTCAAAATGGTATTTTTTTATTTTATATTTATGTGATCAGAGTATATCGCATGCGCTTACCACCCAGATAATCCCAGCCAGATAGGGAAAGGAGAGTTCCTGAAAAATCAGGGTTGCGGTGAGTGAAGCATTCTTCTTTGCTGGATCACAATACTGTCACATCACATGAGGCAGCTGCTCTATCTACTCGTTATTTTTATTTATCTAGTTATAGGTAAAAGGTAAAGGATCCCCCTCGCACGTATGTGCTAATCGTTCTTGACTCTAGGGGGCGGTGCTCATCTCCGTTTCAAAGCCGAAGAGCCAGCGGTGTCCAAAGACATCTCCGTGGTCATGTGGTTGGCATGACTACACGCCAAAGGCGCACGGAACGCTGTTCCCTTCCCACCAAAGGTGGTCCCTATTTTTCTACTTGCAAATTTTTTTTTACGTGCTTTCGAACTGCTAGGTTGGCAGAAGCCGGATGAGTAACGGGAGCTCACCCCGTTACACGGCACTAGGGATTCGAACCGCTGAACTGCCGACCTTTCGATCAACAAGCTCAGCACCTTAGCCACTGAGCCACTGCTTCCTTTTTTTATCTAGTTATAGCCCACGGTTATTTTTTTTATAAACCACTCAAAGTGGTAAACAGACACAATGCTTCTTCTTCCTCCTATTTTCCCAACAACAACCCTGTGAGGTAGGCTGAAAGAGAGGGACTGGCCCAAGGTCACTCAGCCGGCTTTCATGCCTAAGGTGGGACTAGAACTCACCACCTCCTGATGATTGGCCCAAAGTCATCCAGCCAGCTTTCATGCCTAAAGTGGGACTAGAACTCACGGACTCCTAGCGATTGGCTCAAAGTCACCCAGCTGAATGTAATGCCTAAGGTGGGACTAGAACTCAGTGCCTCCTAGTGATTGGTCAGTTACCCAGCTGAATTTAATGCCTAAGGCGTGACTAGAACTCAGTGCCTCCTAGTGATTGGCCCAGTCACCCAGCTAGATAAGGCGGGACTAGAACTCAATGTCTCCTAATGATTGGTCCAAAGTCACGTAGCTGGCTTTCATGCCTAAGGCAGGACTAGAATTCACCATTTATTAGTAAGAAAACCCCCAATGTGAGAAAGGTGTGTGGGGGGGGACACTTAAATTTCATATATAAGTGGGAAATCCCAATGCTAGAATTTGGCCACCTTCCTTCCCTCCCGTTGGCTCAAAAGAAACCTCAAGTCTGCAGCTTTTTAAGCCAAAAGTAATTTATATAAAAGAAATGTTATTTCTGCATCCTAACTGTCCAATATCTTCCCAGAAGAGATTTGGCCAGAACTTCTGGATTGCTTTCAGCATTTAAGAAGAGTAGTTTCAATGTGGAAGCTGAATGCGTTCCCAAGCCAGCAGTTCCACCAAAGTATAACATTCTACATCATCAGAATTACGTTATATAAACCCCGAAGTCTGAAGTATTGGCAACGGGTAAGGTGTGACCAAAGGAAGTTCTCAACCCATTAACAATAATAAAATGTTAATTTGTCCACAGCCCCTCATTTAGATCATCAGACTGGTTAAAAGATGTTTTTAGAAAAAGGAAAATCAAGATGTTGGTTAGATGTATATAAGAATCAGAATTTTAGGCCAAAAGTAGGATGCCACTGAGTTACTTTAACTGCTGTTCCAAGATAAATCTAAGTCTTTCCCCTTTTTAAATGGAAATTTTAAATTTGGTTTTAAATTCTTGGGGTTTTAAATTTGTTCAGCCAAATTATTTAATTCGTTTTATTTTATTTTAAATTTTGTATTTATATGTTTTATTCTATGGCTGCTCGCCGCCCTGAGTCCTTCGGGAGTAGGGCAGTATATAAATTCAATAAAATAAAATAAATAAATAAAAATAAAATAAATGCCAAGAACAACAGCGATATTGTATTGCGCGTGACAATGTTAAGCATAGCTCAACTGTAACCGCACATGCTTACAAACAGTTATAATTAAGTTTTGACAGAATGACTGTCATACTTTTACAACTGCTGGGCCAAAACCCTGCATTTCCTACTTCCCCACTGGCAAAACCGTAGCCATAGCAAACCATCAGTTGGCTTAACAACCGTGGCATTCTCTTAAGGGTCACGGTGCACGCCTTACGACCGTGCTTTCGTTTTACGGATGGTGCAAAAGAGTTTGCAAAACCAGGTCGATTGTGTGACCGCGAGCAGCGTTACGGCCGTCATCAGTTACGACCGTGATGGGCAGGCCCCATTAGGGTTGTAACTCAAGGACTACCTGTATAGCGTTGTCCCAGAGGTCACAGTGCTATGAACTGCAACCAGATAACCAGCAAAAGCTTTAATTCCTGTTGACCAAGAATTTGTAGGAGGGGCAGAGTCAAAAGAGGCATAAGCCTAGCATCCCTATGTAGTCACAAAGGGATTAAGTCCAATCCTCCACCCTTGAATTCCATTGACTTTATCTAATCCCAAGCAGGTGCTAAACCATGAAGTGAGAAGATTCCTGTGCATTGGCTGTTTAGCAATAAATCAGCTTAACTGGACCTTCACATGTGGACCTGATCTTTCCCATTTGACTCTATCGTCTCTGCCTATCTTTGTCTGTCTGGGAAGGAGTGGTGGAGTCAAAAGAGAGACCAGCCTAGAATCCCTACGTAACCACAAGTGAACTAAGCCCAATCTCCCTTGAATGCCATCGGCCCTTATTTAACTCCAAGTGGGTGCTAGTCATGAGTTAAGAAGTTTCCTGCGCGTGGGCATTTTAGCAATACATCACTTTAGCTGGACCTTCATGCGTGGACCTGATCTTTTGCACCTGACAAGAATTCTTTGGAAGAATTAGGTCAAAAAGAAGAAGAAAAAAACTCAACCCCTTACCTCATATCTCCAAACTTCCGGCTGATTGCAGAACCCACGTTGGACAGAGCAGCCGAAGTCTTCTGGCCGGCCTGATACAGCGTTTCCTGGGTCTTCTTATACCTAAAGAAAAACAAGAATTGGGAAGGGAGGCCGTCGTTAATTGAGAATGGTCTCAAAGGAGTAAAGGAAGACACAGCTGGAGCTTAAACAACAGGAGTTGGGAAAGGCAAGAGGCGTGTACGTATTCTGTGTACACACTGGAGGATTTGCAAAGCTTTGCAACTATGGCAGAGGGTGAAAGAGGCTAGCAACCAGGTTTAAAGCAACGATGTGCCACTTCTGAAGACGCACTTCATTATGGCAGGATTTTGAGAGACGCTCAAGATACAGGCAGTTCTCACCTTACGACCACGAGATCAGAATTTCCCTTGTGAAGCAAGACGGCTGTTAAGTGAGTCACGGCCAATTTTACGAGCTTTTTTTTTTTTTTAAACTATGGGAGTTAAGCAAATCGCTGTGGTTGTTAAGTGAACCATGCGTCATTAAGTGAATCAGGGCCCCGTCCCCCAGACCTGTTAGAAGCCAGCTAGGAAGATCATTAATAGTGATCGTTATGACTCTGGAAGGCTGCAATAGTTGAAAATATAGGCCTGTTGCCAAGGGCCTGAATTCTGATCACGTGACTGTGGGGAAATGCTGTGACGGTCGTAAGTGCGAGGAATAGTTGCAAGTCAATTTTTTTCAGCGTTGTGAACTTCAAACAGTCCCTAAACGAACGGTCGTAAATCAAGGACTACCTGGACTTCAGCAAGGCTACAAAGCAGATGTATGTTCCCTGTCTGGTCCCTGATAATAGTTTAAGGAGGATTAACACCCTTCATCGTGGTTTATCTGCTGTTACTGTCCAACGTTTCTTCACTGTTGTTTGTCTTGCATTGTTCAAGATCAGAAAGAAGGGAAAAAAGCACATATTAACATTACTGGTGTCTGCCTATCAGCTCAGGAAGGGAAGAGCTTACTGTCCAGATGCCCTTTTGAATTAGCTACCATATCCGAGTTGCCAAAATCCAAACCACTTCTAGATGGTCTCCCTTTGCCTCCACGGAGAGGAGATCTTGTGGCCTTTGGCACTGCTATCACTCAGAATAAGAGAAGAACAGAGTTGGAAGGGACCTTAGAGGTCTTCTAGTCCAACCACCTACTCAAGCAGGAGACCCTAATACAATTTCAGACAAACGGTTATCCAACATCTTCTTAAAAACTTCCAGTGTTAGAGCATCCACAACTCCTGTATGGAAGTTGTTCCACTGATTAATTGTTCTCACTGTCAAGAAATTTCTCCTTAGTTCCAGGTTGCTTCTCTCCTTGATTCGTTTCCATCCGTTGCCTCTTGTCCTGCCTTCAGGTGCTTTGGAGGATAGCTTGACCTCCCCCTCTTCTCTGTCACCTCAAATATTGGAACTCTGCTATTATGACTCCACGCTTTTCCTTGGCAGCATCAACCCAAAAAAAGCAGGCATTCCTGACTTTTTAGAAATTCCAAAACTTTTGAGTTTTGAGCGTTTAATTCACGAACAGCATTAAAATTTAACTTTTTTTTTTTTTAAGTAAAGTCTATATTGATGCGTTAATCCAGAAGAGAAATAGGCGGGTTTATGCTCAGGAAGGGAAAGGCTTCCTGTCAAGAAACCATCAAAAATTTGCAATTTTAAACAGTGGAAGCAGCCTATCTTTTAAAGCAGGGGTCTCCAAGCTTGGCAACTTTAAGACTTGTGGACTTCAACTCCCAGAATTCCTCAGCCAGCTTTGCTGGCTGAGGAATTCTGGCAGTTGAAGTCCACAAGTCTTAAAGTTGCCAAGCTTGGAGACCCCTGTTTTAAAGGCCTCAACTGACCATTTTGAGATTTCTCTAACAACTGGAAGCTACCAAGGTTGCAATCTTGGCTCTTACTCTTTTCCCCTCTGCTCACCAGATTTCAAAATAAATGGAGGAAGTCGTTCACATCCGCAGTCCTTGTCAGCATAAAACTTAGCTGCACCGAAAGCCGGATACTGTGGAATTTCCTTACACGGCTCGGTATTTTGTAGAGAAAGGCTGAAATTGCAACTTCGGGGCTCTCCGAAATAACCATGAATGGCGATTGCAGTGCAATTGACCCATCTGGAAATACTACTACAGGTAGTCCTCAACTTACAAACCATGATTGAGGCCATAATTATAAGTTATGTGGGAAATCTAGCCCAGGAAGCAAAAAATTGAAGTGCCTGGATGAAGGAATGGGGTTGTAGAAATGGATTAGACCTGGGTTCCAATCCCAATCAGAATAGAATAGAGTTGGAAGGGACTTGGGAGGTAGAATAGAAGAGAATCACAGAGTTGGAAGGGACCTTAGAGGTCTTCTAGTCAAACCCCCTAACCAGGCAGGAAACCCTACACCACTTCAGACAAATGATTATCCAATATCTTCTTAAAAACTTCCAGTGTTGGGGCATTCACAACTTCTGGAGGCAAGTAGTTCCACTGGTGAATTGTCCTCACTTAGGAAGTTTTCTCCTCAATTCCAGGTTGCTTCTATCTCCTTGGTTAGTTTCCATCCCTTGTTTCTTGTCCTGCCCTCTGGTGCTTTGGAAAATAAGTTGACCCCCTCCTCTTCTTTGTGGCACCCTCTCAAACTACTGGACTACTGCTATTGCGTCACCCCCTAGTCCTCCTTTTCTCTAGACTAGCCAAACCCCAATTCCTGCAACCGTTCTTCATGTTTTAGTCTCCAGGCCTTTAATCATCCTAGTTGCTCTTCACTGCACTTATTCCAAAGTCTCAACAACTTTTTTGTAGTTTCAACGTTTTTTTTGCTCATTCACGAAAACCAATGGGTGAGGGAGGGGTGCCTTTGGGCCAATCCTACTCTCTCAGCCCAACTACCTTCTTGTTATGGAGACAAAAAAATGGAAGGAAGGCAGGCATTCTTTCTCTTTCTTTCTTTCTTTCTTTCTTTCTTTCTTTCTTTCTTTCTTTCTTTCTCTCTTTTTCTTTCTTTCTTTCTCTTTCTCCCTCCCTCTCTCTCTCTCTCTATATATATACATGCTTTCTTCTCTTATCGTAGGTTTAAAAAGTATGTATTTATAGATCTATTTCGGACTGATTGGTCCTCATCAGTTAGCCACACCCTTACCATATGTTCCCTCCCTGTAGAGGCCAAGTATTTGATTTCTTCTTTTATTGTAGGTTTTATCTATATCTATATTAGTCTCCCAATAGGCAGCAAAATGCTGGCTTGCTGTCTGAAGAAGCCTAGGATAGTGGATGTGATTCCACTGAGCTATGGCTGCAATTTGAAAAACTTGGTTTACCTAAGAAAATACCCGGCTGAAGAAAAATACATACTTTTTAAACCTGCGATAAGAGAAGAAAGCAAATACTTAGCCTCTACGGGGAGGGAACATATGGTAAGGGTGTGGCTAACTGATGAGGACCAATCAGTCCGAAATAGATCTATATTAGTCTCCCAATAGGCAGCAAAATGCTGGCTTGCTGTCTGAAGAAGCCTAGGATAGTGGATGTGATTTCACTGAGCTATGGCTGCAATTTGAAAAACTTGGTTTACCTAGGAAAATACCCGGCTGAAGAAAAATACATATATATATACATATATACACACAGACGTATATATACTGTGTATGTTTGTGTATATAAATAAATAAATATATATATACCCACACACACACACATATACACACACACACACACACACACACACACACACACACACCAGTGGTGAAGTCCAAATTTGTTTACTACCGGTTCTGTGGGCGTGGCTTGGTGGGCCTGGCAGGGGAAGGCTACTGCAAAATCTCCATTCCCACCCCACTCCAGGGGAAGGATACTGCAAAATCCCCATTCCCTCCTGACTCCTGGGGAAGGATATTGCAAAATCTCCATTCCCACCCCACTCGGCCAGCCAGAGGTGGCATTTTCCAGTTCTCAGAATTGCTCAAAATTTCCACTACCAGTTGGATTTCACCCCTGATACATACACATACATACATGTATACTGGGAGCATCTGGAAGAAAGGCAAGCTGTAATTCTGGCAATTAAATGATTATAAATAATCACCGAGGGACACTTGGAAAAGCAGTCTGCAAATAGAAATCACATTGTCCCAAGAAGAATCACAAGAAGCGACGCGCAGCTCGGCCATTTTTCTATTAATTCTCTTCTCCTGCTTGAAAGCAGCAATCTCTGGTACACCATTCATTTATAGCAGGGTTCCTCAACTTTGGCCACTTGAGGATGGGTGGACTTCAACCCCCAGAATTCCCCAGGCAGCTGGCATGAGAATTCTGGGAGTTGAAATCCACCCATCTTCGAGAGGCCACGGTTGAGGAACGTTGATTTACAGAAATGACTTCAGAGACCCCAAAGACAGAATGTATTTCCAATTCACAGAATATAGGTAGTCCTCAACCTATGACTACAATTGAGCACAAAATTTTTGTTGCTAAGTGAAATACTTTGTCCCATTTTACGACCTTTTGTGCCAGAGTTGCGAAGTGAATTACTGCAGCTGTTAAGTTAGTAACACAATTGTTAAGTGAATCTGTCTTCCCCATTGACTTTGTTTGTCACTGGGGAAGCCAGTGGATGCCAAGCAGAACAATGGATCCTTAAAATTATACCTAAAGCAATCCCATTTCATCCAACTCACACTGGAGGATGGAGCATCTCCTTCGGAGGAAAACCCTCCATCTTAAATACAGGTAGTCCTCGACTTCTGACCAACACTGGGACCAGAATTTCTGCTGTTAAGCAAGACCGTTGCAAAGTGAGTCAGGTTCAATCTTACAAGCTTTGTGGCCACAGCTGTTAAGTGAACCATGTGGTCATTAAACGAAACTGGCTTGTCCCATTGACTTTGCTGGTCAGAGGCTGGCTAGGAAAGTTGTAAGAGACGATCATGTGATCCTGGCATGTTGCACTGGACGTATATACGTACGTGCCAGTTGCCAAGTGCCCCAAATTTTGATCACAAAACCACATGATGTTGCAATGGCCATAAGGTTGAAAAAAACGGTAACAAGACGGGGTCAACGGGGGAAGCCAGATTCACTTAACAACCGGGTTAAGTAATTAAACAAGGGGCAGTGATTCGCTTAACAAATGCAGCACGAAAAGTCGAAAAATTGGGGCAAAACTCGCTGAACAAACGTCTCACTTAGCAGCAGAAATTTAGGGCTCAATTGTGGTCGTAAGTCGAGGTCTACCTGTATTCAGACCAGACCTGGAGGGAGATGACCTATTCAAGCTGAATGGACAGGCTGATGAGTGTGGGGGGGGGGAAATCTTACCTTGATGAATTAATGTGTGAGAAACCAAGTTATTCAGCTGGAGTTATCTAGGACAGGGGTCTCCAGGGTTGTAAGTCGAGGACTACCTGTATAGGAGAATATTTGTAGCTCAGGGTTGAAACGAGGGCTCCTTGGGGCTCTCTGAGCTTGGTTGTTTGTTTTTTTTAATTTTTTTTTAATTATTTTTTTAATTTGATTTATTTGCCGCCCTTCTCCGGAGACTCAGGGTGGCTTACAATGCGCTAAGCAATAGCCTTCATTCTTTTGTATATTTATACAAAGTCAGCTTATTGCCCCCACAAACTGGGTCCTCATTTCACCTACCTTAGAAAGGATGGAAGGCTGAGTCAACCTTGAGCCTTGGCGAGACTCGAACCTGCAATAATTGCAGGTAGCTGGTCTTAATAACCAGCTTAATAACAGGGTGCCTTAGACCACTGTACTCCCAAGGCTCTTTTTCTTGCAGACATCTGATGACCCAACTAGGTAACATCATCAGTGCTAGTAGGACAAACAAACCGTCTTACTCTCAATCTCCCCAGGAAAAGCATCAGCCGAACAGCCCGAAACTCCAAGAAAAGTTCAGTGTCCCGTTTCTTCACCCTTCCCCCCCCCCTGATTTTTGCCTTAGATCACACAGCACCGGGAAGCATTTACAAGCAAAGGGACGAAGCAGAAGGGTTATTAGTGCAAGGAAGGAAGAGTTAATGGTGGTCCGACACGGAAGGCGTGCGTGTTTTATGCAGAAGGTTAAGAGACTCACGCTTCTGATTGGGTTAATTTGTCATTCCAGTCCTCCAGAGTACTGCTGGCCGAAACATATCTATAAATACAACAGATTAGAGAACACCTCTTTCATTTGTTCATACAATTTACGCAAGGCCATCTATGAGGAAGGAATGGGCCTTTTTTTTTTCCTTCACATCTGGAACAGGGCTCTCGAAAACTGTGCAACTTTTAAGACTTGTGGACTTCGACTCCCAGAATTCCTCAGCCAGGAATTCTGGGAGTCGAAGTCCACAAGTCTTAAAAGTTGCCAGCTTTCGAGGTCTCATCGTAAAAAGAGGGCAATCATAGAATCGTAGAGCTAGAAGGGACTTCAGAGGTCTTCTAGTCTAGTCCAACCCCGTCTATGGCAGGAGACCTTATTATCATCCAGGTCCAACGGCTGATCCAATCTTTCTTTGAAAACCTCCTGCGATGGGAGCACCCACAAGCTGTTTTCAATCATTGGGTGGTTAATTCTTACCTGCCAGGCCAGCACCACCCAGCCACCACCAATCCCACCTTCTAAATCAAAAGGCATATCTTCCTGCAACCAGGTGGTCTCCTTTCCCCTGGCGTATTTATCTACCAGGTGGTCTCCTTTCCCCTGGCGTACTCATATCTAAGTCATATCTTCTTGTAACCAGGTGGTCTCCTTTCCTCTGGCGTATTTATCTACCAGATGGTCTTCTTTCCCTGGCGTACTCATATCTAAGTCATATCTTCTTGTAACCAGGTGGTCTCCTTTCCTCTGGCCTATTCATCTACCAGATGGTCTTCTTTCCCCTGGCGTACTCATATCTAAGTCACATCTTCCTGTAACCAGGTGGTCTCCTTTCCTCTGGCGTATTTATCTACCAGGTGGTCTCCTTTCCACTGGCGTACTCATATCTAAGTCATATCTTCCTGTAACCAGGTGGTCTCCTTTCCTCTGGCGTATTTATCTACCAGGTGGTCTCCTTTCCCCTGGCGTACTCATATCTAAGTCATATCTTCCTGTAACCAGGTGGTCTCTTTCCTCCTGGCGTATTTCGCAGCATTCATTGCCCTGCGGCTGGAGAGGCTCAAACTGGAGGTGGGCATTGAGAAATCATTCGCTAGATGGTCTAGCACCAGAATAACAAAATAACAGAATGACGGAGTGGGAAGGGACCTTGGAGGTCTTCTAGTCCACCCCCTGCTCAAGCAGGAGACCCACCCGGACCGTTTCAGATTTCCCTGCCATCTTGGATAGGGAAGACCATTTTCTTACCCGTCACGATCCTAAGGAGGAAACATTTGATTATCTTCTTGGTAAGCTGCATCATGCTTAAACTTTCAAGGACCAGTTTTAGGTGAACTAAAGGTTTACCCGCAATGCCAAGACTTTACCGGTGCCTCTGTGCAAATTCTCCACTTTGAGGGTGGAATTTCATACACGTGTTCTGCTTCGTGCGTGAAGCTGCCCCCCTCCCTTTGCAAACAGGCTGCTCTGAACAGTGTTTAAATATCTATGGAGATTCTCCGTCATCCAAGTCACGGTTTTCCCGAAGGTGTTTTTTTTCAAGAGGTAGTTGGATTTTCTTGGGATTTTCTCTGAAGACGTTTCGCTCCTCATCCAAGAAGCTTCTTCAGCTCTGACTGGATGGTGGGGAATGGAAGGAATTATACTCCTTGCAGAGAGCTTGTTGGATGCTTATCCTACAGTTGGGTAGGTAATATATAGAAAACTATGTTCTGTAACTTTAACTGCTACAAGATGACTAATTGGCTGGGCTAAGCAGACATAAAAGAAGGCAGGAAGTTCATTCACTTCTCCTCCTGCTATTAGAAGGTTGAACTGCTGAAAGGAACCGTGTCTGTGTTACTGAAGAGAACTGGAATTGTAAGCAAACTATGTTTTTGCGTTGAACCGTTGATTGTGTTGAAGAAGTGTTATCTTTGTTTTGAGAAGCCAAGTTTGGTTTTTTTTACTACAAGTAAAGACTGTTTATTTTTCTTTAAACGTTCAGAGTCTCTGAGTATCTGTGTGTTTTGCTAAGCAACGTTATCTATTTGCTGTCTGGTCCGTTGCACCACTTTGCAGAGGGCAGTTTTACCCTCAATAGAGCTGGTCATTTGCATCCTTTTAGAGAGTCCACCTGGACAGGCCAAAGTCCACATTTTGGACAGAGAGGACTGCTGGTTTGAAAGAGGGGTCAAAGAGGTCATCTATGTCAAAATTGAACAGCCCTCCATCAACAGAGGATGGAGAGTTACGACAACACCTCTCTCCAGTCTACAACACAGCAGTTTTTTTTTTTCAGCAGTTCCAAGAAGGCTCCACACCCATTTGCACCACTCAGGTGAACCTGAGGATACAGAAAAATCTCCAAGTGGCCTCAACGACCTTCTAAAAGGATGCAAATGACCAGCTGTCTGCAAGGAATATAAATCCTTCCTTTCCCCACCATCCAGTCAGAGCTGAAGAAGCTTCTTGGATGAGAAGCGAAATGTCTTCAAAGAAAAACCAGAAAGTCCAGTTGCCTCTTTAAAAAAAAAAAGCACTTTTTGGACTACATGCTTAAAGCATCCTGTTTCATGCTCAAGAAGAGCAGGTTCGCACACAAACCTGGACATTACATGAACATTCCCTGTTGAACCTCTGCCTGCGCGCAGCATACCACAATACCAGAACTATAAAAACATACCTATTGATGATACCAGGCTAAGGATGGAAATGGTATTGACATAGTAGGAAATTGTAAAATCACACCTGAAGTCAACAACTCCTAATTTCTTCTATTACAGGTAGTCCTCGACTTAACAACCGTTCGTGTGAAGTTACAGACACTAACAAAGGAGACTTATGACTGTTTTTCACATTTACGACCATCCTCGTGGTCACGTGATCAAAATTCAGACGCTTGGTAACTGACTCATATTTACGACAGTTGCAGTGTCCCGGGGGGGGGGGTGTCACATGATCCCCTTTTGCGAACATCCGACAAGCAAATCCAAGAGAGAAGCCGGATTCACTTAACAAACCGGTTATTAACGACTGAAGTGATTTGCCTAACAACGGTGGCACGAAAAGTCGTAGAATGGTGCAAAACTCACTTAATAACCATGCTGCCTAACAATGGAAATTTTGGGCTCAGTGACGGTCGTAGGTCGAGGACCAGGGGTGAAATGCTCCCGGTTCGGACCGGATCGCCTGATCCGGTAACGATGGCGGTGGGTGGTTCAGAGAACCGGTAGCAAAAATCCCTGCCCCCTGCCATGCCCAGCTGAGCTGCACAATCATCAGAGGCTGTTTTTTTTTACTTTTAAAAGCATTTTTTCTACAACCTCTTCGGCCGAAAAAATGCTTTTAAAAGTAAAAAAAAAAAAAAAGCCTCTGATGATCGCGCGGCTCAGCTGGGCTCCTCAAAGGCATCTAAAAGAAAAAAACCCTTTTTTTTCTTTTAAATGCCTCTGACGATCCAAGCTGAGTTGCCTGATCGTCAGCGGCATTTAAAAGAAAAAAAAAAAAAGCCTCTGCTGATCAGGCAACTCAGCTGGGATCGTCAGAGCCCTTTTGAAAGCATTTTTTTACAACCTCTTCGCCGAAGAGGTTGTAGAAAAAATGGTTTTAAAAGTAAAAAAAAAAAAAATTGGCCACGCCCACCGTTACATTACCCCCCCACCAAGCCACGCCCACTGAACCGATAGTAACAAATTTTAGATTTCACCATTGTCGAGGACTACCTGTACTTCAGAAGGTAACTGCAGCATACATACGTCCCAACACAGTTCAACCGCTGAATGCCACCTTCTCCTACCTGCAGCTCTCTAGGTGTGGCTAAGAATTCTGGGAAAAGATGCTGTATTCCAGTGTTTCTCAACCTTGGAAGCTTGAAGATGGGTGGACTTCAACTCCCAGAATCCCCTAGCCAGCGCTGCTGGCTGGGGGATTCTGGGAGTTGAAGTCCACCCATCTTCAAGCTTCCAAGGTTGAGAAGCTGTATTCAGTCTGCTGAATACAACCAGATTAGAAGAATTTTAGCATGGAGCAGCGTCAAAGATTGAAACCAGATATTTAAGTCTTGCAAGGATACCAAAGTTCTGTGTTTTTTTGTTTTTTAAATACAGGTAGTCCTTGACTTACGCCCACAACTGAGCCCGAAACTTGTTGTGAAGCGAAACGTTTTGCGAAGTGACTGTTGCCCCGTTGGGACGACATTTCTTGCCTCCGTTGTTAAGTGGATCGCTGCAGTCGGTCAGTTAGTAACACGGTTGTGAAGTGAATCTGGCTTCCTTGATGACTTCGCTCATCAGGAGGTCGCAAAAGAGGATCACAAGATCTTGGGACACAGGTTACGGTCACAAATACGAACCGATCACCTGATCGTGGGAAATGCTGGGAAAGTCGTAAGTGTGAAAAACCGATCCGAAGTCACTTTTTTCAGTGCCGTTGTAACTTTCAACGGTCACTAAACAGACTGTTGTAAGTTGAGAAGTACCTGTATCAGCCTTGCAAACTGGCTATAGAATTGGAGGTTTCTTTTGTTGAAAAGGGAAGAAGGATGGGGGAGTTCATACTCCATGAACCCCTCCGAGGAATATTAAGCCGGCTACCAAAACTCTTTGTGGGCTTGTAAATCTTCCTTTCCTTGTCCGTGATGAACACAAAGAGAGATTCTAGATTGGAAGAGCAATGCAGAAGATCCTTCACTAGTATCCCCAATGTTGGTCCGTTATATCTTTGAATGGTTGCTAAGCAACCAGTCGGTAAGTCGAGGACTAATGTCCATCCAGACCTAGTTGTTTGCAGCTCACATGCTCCAGCCACGCGGTCACCAATATGGCTCCGCGTGCCACGGTCTCGGCACGCGGAGCCATATTGGTGGGCACGCCGGTGTTGCCCTAGCTCAGCTCCAGTGCGCACCAGCCAACTGATTTTCAGGCCTTCCGGTCCCACCGGAAGTCGGGAAACTGGCTGTTTCCGGCCTCCAGAAGGCCTCCGGGGAGATGGGGAAGGCTGTTTTTGCCCTCCCCAGGCTCCTAGAAAGCCTCTGGAGCCTGGGGAGGGGGAAAAAACGGGCCTACTGGGCCCAC